CGCTCCCTCTGCCTCGCCCCCCGCACCGTTCCTTCGCAACAAAGCCTCCGAGCAGCAGGGCCAGCGCTTCGCCAGCCCCAAGACCATCGTGCGAAGCGAGGTTGTTTCGCTAATGGAGGTTCAGAAGACATCGCTCAATGAAACCATTGGTAACTTGCAGCGAACGTTGAACAAAGCAACGGCCAAGCTAAATGATGTGGTAGAAAGCCTTGCATTTGCCCGGAAGGAAATGGAGGATTCTTAAAAGGAAATATGATAGCTCTCTGATGAAGACGCTGAACTCTAACTACAACTTCGCGGATGATCTGCCGATACAGCTGAGGTGAAGCAGAACCTCAAGAAAGCCACGGACCGAGCAGATTACATGGAAGATCAGAGCAGGAGAAACAATCTGCGCAATAGTGGCATCCCCGAGGACAAGAACGAGAACTGGCAGCAGTGTCCCTGGAAGTTCACACAGTTCCTTTGTAAACATCTCAACGTGAATCCTGACCTAGAACGAGTTCACCGAGAGGGAAAGCAGAAGGACAGACCACGATATTGTTGCCAAACTCACGCGATTCCAGGACCGCGAAGCGGTGCTGCAAGATCGCCGCAAGCTTGCCCGGACAAAAATCTATGTAACACTGGACATACGCTGAGGCAAGATGGACGAATTACACGAGGGCAGACGGCAAGGGAAGATAGCCTATTTTAATTACAGGACACTAGTGATAAGAGAACGTTGGGATAATGAACACCCGCGCGGTCGCGGTGCCGTCTCCATCTGTCCCGGCGTCCTTCACCCCACAACCTCTTGTCATTTTCCCCTGGCGGTTCCTCCGAACACGCCTACACTCGACGTAATCATCACTCTGACTGACCAAAACACCACTGCTTCATCTGACGCCCACATACAAGCCACAGCGGAAGCCAGCTTCATATCCAGTCCCAGCAAAGCAGTCCGTCTAAGGAAGCCCCCATCATACTACAAGACCTAAAAGCTGTATTGTTGTACTTTTTCTTATTGTCTTCTCACATTGTAAAATATCCTCTGTATGTCATTGTTCAGTCTTTGTGATCTTGAACTATTAAGTTTGTTCTGCCAAAGTCGCTACAACAACGCTTTATCTTTTGAAGTCATGGACAATATGATTTTGTTACCTTTCCTGAAAGACCATGATGGTATGAACGATAAAAATAACCCTGATATTTGCCTTCAACAGTCCTTGCATTTGAAAATCTTTAAGTATGTATTTCTCGGATGTAAGGTTAATAACAGATCTGTATCTTTCACTATCTTAGGACAGAATATTAATAACATTCCTAAACGTCTTGATGACTTCCTAAACAGCTGCATTCTGCCACTGAACTTTCATATTGATATCTTATGTATTTGTGAAACGAAGCTCACTGACAAAATCCAAAACTCGAACGGCTTTAAGACTTATCAGATGTTTATTAACAATACCAGCAGGGGAAGCCAGGGTTAGCAGTATCTGTTCATGACTCACTTAATTCTTGCTCAAGACCAGCCCTTACAATCAATAATTTTATCATGGAGAGCCTATTTATTGAAATCTTTTACAAATCCGGTACCATTATCCTTGTTATGATTTACAAGCTTCCCAAATCAAATAACCAGCTTTTCTTTGACAAGCTCAGTGCCATAGCATCTGAAAACAAACGCTGCTATATCACGAGTGACTTCACTGTAAACTTGTTGATTTCCTACATGCCTGCTTCTAGACAATTATCTGACTTATTTCACGGAAACCTGTTTTACAACTGTATAACGAAACCCACACGCGTAAGTGACAGTTCTGCAACTCTGCTGGATCATACCTGGACCTGTGACCTTGCAAATAATGTAAATAACACAGTGATATACTCTATTATATCTGATCACCTTCCAGTATTCTCTGAATTTAAGTCAAAGGTAACAACAACTCAATCCAGCAAAACAGACATTCAGTATAGGGATTATTCGGAGCACAATATGCAGTTGTTCGCTCAACATCTGCAAATTGTGTCCTGGGACTTGGTGCTTTCTTCCCTTTAATGCCTAAATATCTAAAGCCCAAAGCCTTTGCCAAGCCATATATGACATCAGAAATAAAAGAATCTTTTGCCCAGAAGAACAGATTACAAAGAAAATATGCAAAGTATCCCCTGCATCATAGAGAAGACTTTCGCACAGTCAGAAACCATTTGAATACCACTCTTCGAATTGTAAATCCAGTACTTAAAAAGCAAAGTACTTCAGAACCTTGGCAACTCGCAGACGACCTGGAAGATGCTTAACACTAAAAAAATAATAATAATAATAATAAATCTAAGACCACATGCGAACAAAATGCGAGAGGCAAAATTGTAACTGACCCCCATGATGTTGTTGAACAATTCAATATTTACATTGGAATGAATTATGTTCTAAATTCCAATAGTGTCAATAATGCTTCATCCAGTAAATGATAGGATGTCCCTCCTCCCTAAAACGGTTCAGGAAGTGATATATTCA